CACCCCCGACTGGAGGATAGGCTCTTTATTGATTTTAGAGAGAGGAAGGGAGAAAGAGAGAGAGAGACATCCATGTGAGAGAGGAACATTGATTGGTTGCCCTCTGGTACATACACCGACCACGGATAAAACCCACAACCTAGGTATGTGCCCCAACTAGGAATCAAACCTGCAACCCTTCGGTGTACAGGGTGATGCTCCAACCAACTGAGCCACACCAACCAGGGCCCCATCTGCTTCTTAAGCAGTTTGACTTGATGTCTCATCCAGAGCTTATGATCTTTGGAACTTTCTGTTGACTGGCCTCAGTGTCATAACCATCACAGCTCTCTGCAGTCTGACCTGCCCACCCACTCCTGCTTGCATTATCCTTCCGTGGACTCCCGGGTTACTTGGTTATACCAGTTTGGATGCATTGGCACATGCTGCCTTGAGGGTGACTTGCTCACGCATCTGGAAATCCTTCAGTGGATAAGACCTGTGCTAGAATTGGCAACACAGAGATGAGTGAGACTTGGTTTCTGCCCTTGAGATTGCCAGTCCAGTGTGGGAAAGGTTTTCCAGCAGTTATTTATTTGATGTTTCACTAAGAATTGACCCAGCAACACTCTCTCTTTGCCCTGCAGCAGGGAAGGCTTCCCAGGTGGGGCCTGGGTGAACCCCGAAGGATGAGAATCAGGAGTTTCTCAGACAGTCAAGGGGGGAAGGTGCCTTCCAGATAGAGGCTTTTCCCTCCATGACAGTCTGTATTCCCTCGAGGGCATCCTCTCTCATTTGTATTCCCCACCTGCCTCACAGGGTATTTGCTAAGATGAGATGTTAATAAATGTTCCCATAAGTCATCTGAAGCTCAGGAAGCAGTAAAATATGAGAATTGACAGCTCAGATGAGGCCAGGTTTTGGAGGACTAGCATGCTTGGGAAGACTGTAGGGGAAGACATTTGACCTCTGCCCAAAAAAAGCCTAGGTAGTCTGCTTCCAGTGAGAGCCCAGAGGCACCAAAAGGGGCAAGAGGGCCCAGGAGGGTTGGGTGCTGTCCATGCACCAAAAGGTTGCCTGTTCGATTCCTGGTCAGGGCACATGCCCAGGTTGCAGGCTTGATCCCCAGGAGGGGATGTGCAGTAGGCAGCCGATGGACATTATACTCTCATGGCAGTGTTGCTCCCTCTCCCTCTCCCTCCCTCCCCCCTCCT